CTCAAGACCCGTTGCGAAGACGGGAACCCACCCCTGCGTTTCCGCAAGGACGAGAAGGAGGCTGGGATGGCCAAGGAGAAGGGCAAGAAGAAGAAGGTTGCGGGGCCACGGATTGTGGTGCCCAGAGTGGTTGAGACGAAGGGCTCCTGCGGGAGACGCCAGCGGAGACGACAGCGGAGATGCCTGCGGAGTCGTCAGGTCTGACGCTCAGCAACGCGGGGATTGCTGCCATGATGGCCAATCTGCTGATGCGTCAGCGCGTAGATCACCGGCAGCTCAGCCGCGTGATCATGGGACTGCAGAACCTTGGCCGCGAAGTTGCGCTTCAACGTCGGGCGCGATCAACTCGTCGACCACACCCGAGCAACTGGACGAGCGCCTACAGGGAATCGACAAGACCCTGAAACACTGGGACGTCTTCATCCAGCGGGAAGGCCAGAAGTGTCGGGATGCAGATGAGTCGGAGTCGGAGGATGCTGAGGGCGAGCCGTACGAGGAAGAGCAGGAGGAGCAGGAAGAGGTCGAAGAAGATGATGCGATGGATGTGGACGAGGAGCCCCCGGCGAGGGTTGACAAAGGGAAGGGAAGAGCCGAGTAGCGAAGACGGAGACACCTCGGAGACGGAAACGAAACGACGAAGATTAGAGTCGTAAATGTAATATAGAATATAATTTCCTTATCTCGCAAATCCTGTGTGACGTTAATCCAGTTTGGGTTTGTTGGGGTATTGACGATGGAAGGATTCAATGTATTCTTCAGCTTCCAAGTCAGGTGCGCCAACCCAAGTGAATTGTTCATCAGTGTTCTCGTAACCAAGCCATTCGACCAGGTAGCGGAGTCGAGCCGGACCCTTGAAACGGCGATCAATCTTGGAGTCAACAATCTGTTTGATTTCGAAGTGTTCTTCTCCATCGACTTCAATTGCCGCAGGTGGTGGCTCTTCGCGACCAGGGAACTTGTTGGGTGTGTGGATTTCGATTTGGGAAACGTGAAAGACGGGATGAACTTGAGAAAGGGATTTCGGGAGACGGACTTGATAGGACGCAGCACTGGGCTTTCCGATGATCTCGAAGGGACCAAAATGCGTTTCTGAGAACTTGGAGTCGGACGCTTGGTCTTGATGTACTTGGTCGAGATAAAGACTTCATCACCAATAGACGGAGACGGATCCGGAATGCGTTTCCGGTCCGCAGTCTCTTTGTATTGCTCCTGAGCGTACTTGATCTGTTCCTTGAGGAACTCGTGCAGCTCTTGGAGATCGACGACGTAGTCCTTAGCATAAACATTAGCCACATCACCCTCTGGATGAATCGTAATAGAGGGATCGTAGCCTTTGTTCGCGAAGAAGGGTGATATGCCAGTAGAAGCGTTAGGAGCATTATTGAGTGCGAACTCTGCGATCGGCAGTAACTCGTGCCAATCATCCTGTTGGTAAGAACAATAGATGCGAATATATTGCTCAACAGTTTGGTTCATGCGCTCCGTTTGCCCATCAGCAGAAGGATGATAACCCGAAGTATAATGGAGTTCCATGTTGAGTAGTTCTCCAAGGGAACGGAAGAAAGAGGACACGAATTCCTTTCCGCGGTCAGAAGTGACATGGGATGGGACTCCGTGTTTCGAGAAGACGTGAATGAGGAATAGTCGAGCGAGCTCTGGAGACGAAATATGAGTGTCGCACGGAATCAAAATGACCTGTTTGGAGGCACGATCAACGATGACTAGAATGGTATCGAATTCACCGGATGTGGGGAGCTGCTCAATGAAGTCCATAGAGATAGAATCCCAAGGACGGAGAGGAACGGGGAGAGGCTTTAGTAGACCGTAAGGTCGATGCCTTGGCTTCTTGTTGCGCTTGCATGTGATACAAGATGCACAGTAGTCCTTGACGAAGGTTCTGAGTTCTGGCCAAGTGTATTCACGTCGGACAAGAGCGAGAGTACGATTTTGGCCAAAGTGACCGGAGAGGATATGGTCGTGATGGTGTCGGAGTACAGTAAGTCGCAACTCCGGAGACGTACCGGAGACGAGTGGTACCCAGATTCGATCGTCATAGCGTAAGAGACCAGTGTCATCGAAGTTTCCAGCGCTGATGAGTTGCCAGATTCCGGCGGAAGAAAGGCCGGAGACGGCAGCGGGATCGTCATTGATGTGAGCGCGGATGTCGTCGTGAAGCTTCTTGACATCCAGAATGACGGAAGCACGAAGCACAGGTTCTTCAAGGAAGGTAGCGGAGAGAGGGCGTTGAGTTGTTCAGACGTGAAAATAGGGCGAAAATTTTGCGGATTCAATTTTCCATAGGACTTATCCCCCTCTTTTGGGTAGATGTCCCATCGTCTAGTTAACGCATCAGGCTTACCCCCAAGTTTACCTGGGGGAATCAGATTGTCATGTTGAAACGACAAAGATACTGGACCAGCGGACCTGGCGCCGAAGTTAGAACCTTGGTAGTAGAGAAATACTCAAGGTTCTTGTGATCAGTGACCACATCGACCGGAATCGGGCGCCTTCAAGATATTGACGCCAGTGAGTAAACACATCGAAGATAGCGAGTAATTCCTTATCGTGTGTGTCATAGTTGAGCTCTGATGGCCCCAGAGAGGCGACTCCGGAAAGCCACAGGATGGATTTCACCATCATCGCCGGGAGACGGAAAGGATAGCGGCGATAGCGTAGTCGGAGGCGTCCGTTTCTAGGGTGATTTGGCGGTCTGGGACCCAGTGATGAAGGATCGGAGCCTCGACAAAGGCCTTCTTGAGATAATCGAAAGCCTCTTGACACTCAGTGGACCAGTTCCAGCGGACGTTGGCACGAGTGAGACGAGTGAGCGGAATCGTGATGTCGGAGTAGTTGAAGATAAAACGTCGATAGAAATTACAGAACCCGAGGAAGGATTGAATATCCTTAACTTTCCTAGGCGTAGGCCAGTCCGTGATCGCGGAGACCTTCTCCGGAGACATGCGAAAGCCGTCAGGGGAGAGAATGTAGCCCAGATACTCGGTAGTCGTGACGCCAAATTCGCACTTTGGCAACTTACAGTAGAGTCCGGCCTCGCGGAGACGCCGTAGGACTTCCCGAACATGCTCGACATGCTTCGACTTGTCGTCTGAATAGACTAGGATGTCGTCAAGATAGACGATAACTGTAACATCCAGTAAGTCGGCGAAAAGACTATTGAGAAATCTTTGAAACGCAGCAGGAGCATTGGTAAGACCTTCAGGTACAACCCTGAACTCGTAAGAGCCGTAGCGAAGAGGGAATGCCGTTTTTGGTTCGTCTCCGGGTGCGATGCGGAGGAGATGATAGGCGTGGCGCAGATCGAGTTTTGTATAGATACGTGCCTTTCCCGGTGTGTCAAGCAAGTCCGAGATCAGCGGAAGCGGGTAGCGGTCCTTCTTCGTGATGCGATTGAGTCCGCGATAGTCAACACAAAGGCGAAGGCTGCCATCTTTCTTCTTAGCGAAGAGAATAGGCGCGCCATGACTAGAGCGCGAAGGATAAATGAACCCGGAGCGGAGATTCTCGTCGATGAACTTGCGGAGAGCTTCCAGCTCGTTCTGAGACAGAGAATAGACGTGTCCGATGGGTGGTTCTTCACCATCAACGGTCTCGATCTTGAGATCAAACTCGCGATGGGGCGGAAGGTTGAAGGCTTCCGTTTCCGAGAACACATCGGCATAGTCTTGGTACTCGGGTGGGAGACGATTAACCTCAGGCTCGGCTTGAGCTGCTCGAGCAAAGGCTTCGTCAGAAGGGACTGCACGAAGAGTGTACTGATACGTATCTTTATCCGCAATAACACAGCGATAAGCCGCAGCAGAAACAAGAGAGATTTGGGGCGCGACAAGAGGAGTCTTGCGCGTGAGAGTTATGGCCGGAGACGGAGTGTCAACCGGAGACGGATCGTCCAATACAGGACCAAGATTTGTTGGCGAAGGGGGCGATATAGGAGCAACCGGAGAGGGCGGAATCGATTCCGATTCCGGAGTGTCCTCGTCAGAGAGGAGCTGATCGCAACAGGAGCAGGCGTGATAGTAGCCAGTTTTGTCGACAAAGACTCCCTAGACGTGTTGGAACAGAAAGAGACGGTGGCTTCAGACCAGTTAATCAACGGATTAAAGTGGTTGAGCCAACTATATCCAAGAACCATTTCGCAAGGAGAGTCCAGATGGGTAACATAGAATTCCACAAGGTGGACTTCGCCAGACGGAAAGCGGATGAGAAGACGGATTTGTTGGTTGATGGTTGATGAGGAGCCGTCGAGGCACCCGTGGCTGTAACGTTTTAGTTAAATGCCCCACTACAGAGCCTGGCACGGATTCAAAAATGCCAAACTCCTGCTAGCGCCCCACTGCATCTAGCCACTTTACGCAAAATGCCCCTGCCCGGCTGTAAACTGGCCGGGCAATGGCTCCCCCGGCCCATCCCATCACCGCAGGTCCATCAAAATTGATCTGGGGCAGCCAAAACTTGATCTGGGGCCGCGGGTGGAGGCGGCCCCTAAAGAATCCACTGGGGTTGGTGAAAAAAATACCTGATGGTGAGTGATGCCACTGATGGCTAGCCCAGAAACACCTGATGCTGGGTGATGCCACTGATGGCTAGCCAAAAACACCTGATGGTGAGTGATGCCACTGATGGCTAGCCAAAAAAAAAAAAAATGATGATGATTGTTCACCAGTATTAGACTAATGGGATACCATTTAATTTAATTAAAAGCATTATTTTCATTCAAATCAAATAAATAATGATGGTAATATAATAATAGCAATAATTATCCTTGGTTCAAATTTTTTATTCATTTTTCTGAATATATTCAATAATTAGTCTCTCAGGTGAGCTCTGGGAATAAATGTAAATAATATACACTTTTTTCCCCAGCAGATATCATATCTATAATTTGATTATATATTTATTCCTCCATCCAAAATATCCAAATATCCAAAATATCCAAAATATCCAAAATATCTAAACCATCTAAAATATCTAAATCGCTATATCTAGTTCTCCTCCTCAACCACTATCCGCACAGCCTGCGCTGCTGAAAGATTCCATCTCGCATAAAAGGCCGCCGAAATCTCCTTATACATGGCCACCTGACGTAACGCGTATGCCCGAAGTCCCCCCACTAGGCTGGGATCATCAACCTCCCGCATCTCGGCCCTAGCCAGCCAGATAGCTTGCAACTTTGCCAGGCTGCGCAACACCCGCTTCATCTCCTCTCTCAGAAGCTCGACCTCCTCTGTCCATCGATCTCGTCTTGCCATCGCCTTCGACCATTGAACTCGTACAGCTGCAGTTGAGTCAGTGCTACATATCCCACAGCAAGCAGAAAAAGGCGTACCATCATGGATTTCCCGTGCATCTACATTGCCTCCCACAAACCAAATCCAAGACATGGCCGTGGCCGTTCTGGCCAGTGATGGCTCTGTCCGAACGCCGCCGCTCCCCACCGCGAGCCAATTGGGCTCTGGCTGCCACATCGTTCTCCAGTTCCTCAAATCACGCAGTCAAGTCCTCGTCCCGCAGCTCCTTAAACTCGGGTGCGAAATCTACACCCTCCAGCCGAATCATCGCTAGCCGAGCTTTGCGATACTTGCGGACATCACACATCTTTTGCTCTTCGATACGGCCCAACAAGGTATTTGCCTTCATTCCTCCTCGTTGGCCAACGACCTGGGAGTTGCGGAAAAGCCTGAGATGCATGATAGCATGGATGCGCCGCACGAATACTCGCGATAGCGTCCGCGCACTGTCCTCGTCGCAACGTGGATTCCACTCGGCCTATTCCCTTCATAGCCACTTCCGCAAGCTCCTCGCGCGTGAGGTCTGACGGAAGCCACAGCTTGATGTGCTCAGCCGTGACTGGCGGTAGATCTGGGTCGCGGAGCTCCTCTTCCTCCGTCCTCAACTCCTCCACCCCCGCCATATACGCCTCCTCTAGGGATGAGCACGGGTCCGGCTGACCCACGCGGGTTGGCGGGTTTGAGCCGTGCGGGTACGGATCCGGGTCAGCCACACCTTGACCCGTGCCTACTCAGTCTAGCTGGCTTATGGCGATTTCCTGTCGGCTTTCCTGTTTCAACTTTACCAAGGGGTCCCGTGTTCAATTCTGCCTCCTGCTTCTCTTCTTCCTCGGTATTATTTGTCGCTAAATTCTCCCTCCACCTTGCAACCCGGCGGGTGACCCGTACCCGGAGCCGCGGGTCACAGATCAGTGGCTGTGCAGGTCTGGGTCCGAGTCAGCCTCCGGACACCCGTGGGTTGACCCGTGCTCATCCCTAGCCTCCTCCACCTTTTGGATCGCCCCAAGCTTCTTGAAGAAAGAAGCGCGGAGTTCGTCAAGCTGACTGGAACGATCGGCCGTCAAGGTTTTTGTGGTCGAATCCCTGATAATACGTGCTCTGCAAGAACTTTAGCATTGCCACGCGTTCGATACTTAAGCAAAACGACTTACTGTAGGTCCTCCAACTGAAGCTTTGCCTTAACAAAGGCCGCCATCGTCATCTTTGCTTGCGTCGCTGGTGCGCTCCCGCTTCGAACCTCTTCCAACTCTATCTTCTTCAGCTCTGCTAGCATTTCCGCTTCGCTAGGTCCCCCTGCATTTCTCGATCAGCCATTTCGGCGCGCAATTTGAGACAACTTTTTTACCTTTCTTCCCATTCCGCAGCATGTACGGGTTTGGCTTCGAACGATCGGCTTCCCAATCGTCTACCTTCTTCTTCCACTGCCGTTTGCGACGCTCATCAAGACTGTCATCCATCTCTTGAAACTGCCCCGTTTGTTGGTCTCGCTCCGAGATCGCCACTAAGAGCTTGCGCGATAGAGCTTCGCCTAATACATATTAGGCTTGCCGTTCCCATTATTATCGCGCAGTAGTGCTTACCTTGGTTGATGTTCTTCTCGAAATTTATGAAGTCGATCTTGTCTTCAATCATATCGTGGCGGTTTCCTTCTCCCATCTCTTTCGTCGCAAATGAAACTGGATTCAGGATAGCCCAGGTTCTTTCGATGCCTTCCCCATCCGTCCGCCCCACGCCCTTCAGGTAGCTCAACGAGTTTTCTGACTGACACGTTGGCTCGTGAGCGACCGCATGCCAAACAGGCAGGGCATAGTCGATTTTGAAGACATCCAAGTTCGCAATGGAGCCCTCGCCCTCGATTGTAATGCCCTTGGCGCGCTCGACAAGATATTGCTTCCATTGGCAAGCAATATCGTACGACAAGACCAGGCGTTTGACACTGGTGTAGCGTAGGGGCGGATACAAGAATATAGTCCATATTTGAATACCTTAACTTCATCAGTATCGGTAAATGTCTTGAATCCCGCACTTACCGCTCCCCCTTCTGCAAGTCTCCAATGGACTTGTGGGCGAACAAGGCCGTGTCTCGCACAAACACACCCTCCAACACCAGAAACACGCAAGCCGGTCGTGTCACGCGTGTTCTTTTGTATAAGAGCGGCAAATGCTATACACGAGCTAGCCTAAACGAAAGGTTAGTAAGATATCGCGGCTGTTTCTTGACAAACGAAACGTACATCAGTTTCGGTCACGTAGTTCCGTAGATGGTTCTTGTATGCAGTGTTTTCGACGAAGTATCCAAGGCCTGAACCAAAGGAAGGGTCCAGCCGCTCGTTCTTGCGTATCCGATTCTTCATTCGAAAATTAGCGTCAATGGCCAGCAGTAGCGAGTCCAAATGCCTGTCGTATGATTAGCAGTGGAACTTAACGTCTTTTGGCTGGACAAACGGCTGCGTTTCAGTTCGACTTTCCCATCCAACAGGGAGATTGAAGTCAGGCGAAGGGCAAGCCCAGCATTTGACTGCAATCTCGCCCGGTTTGGTGGCCTCAAATCCGCCTGGCTCGTGTCCTCGTCCCTGCTCGTTTCAAGCGTTTCGCAAAGTTATATTGACAGGCCATGCGGCTGAACGCCTTATAACGATCCTGCGCATCATTAGTGGTAGCCTCGCATATTCACAAACAAATACACGGACTGCAGTCTTGCCCATTCGTGTCGCATCAGAAAAACGCTCCAAAGAGCCGACAAAATCGTGTGCGTTGAGGTTGCCAACGACCGACAGCATGCGGAAGTGTTCTAGCGCGCGATATGTCGCACATGTGGCGGGGTTCACGGTTGTTGCTGGATACCAAGCGTTGTCCATCAGTTGTGCGACGTGATCTTGCTGGAGAGAGAAGGTGCAGCCACAATACTGAACGTTGAGCGTGAAGACACCCCCGAGGTCAAGCACCACCAGTCGATGTGTCGGCTCGGGAAGCGGACAAGGAAGCCCACGGTGACCCAACTGATACACCATCCCCAGAGCATCTCCGGGTTTGCTGGCACCCATGTCAGGCAATTGGTGCATGCTGACTTTCGTCCAAAACCCCCCGGTCCATTCCTATATTCGTCAGATTGCGTGGGCGTAGATAATGCAAACACACCTTCAATGTGTGTAATGGAGTCAAGCGGTGCCTCTCCCGCACACATTGCTCGCATTGGAGGAACTCCCCGCAGTCCTCGCAACGAAAGATTCGCCTGCCGTCGCCGCCCAAGGTCTCGTCGCAGCAAGGGCATCGCTTCCCCTCCGTATAGTCATTATTTCCCTCTCGGCGAATCAAGCCATCCAGGTATAGTTGGATTAATGGTCGCCAGAGCAAATTGGGATTGTCCTTGGAAAGTATTGAGACATAAAATGATACTCAGTACAACGACTCACTGAGCTGTCGTAACGGCGACGTTTCAATCCATCGTCTTCAGGGATCTCCCAAACTAGCGTCGAGACAGAGTCTGCGATGGCAGAGTCGACACCAAGTTCTTCTGGCGCAGGCAGCCAAGAAGAGAATTCATCGTCAACCGCCTGAGGGTGTGTTGCCACGGGCGTGTTTCGAGGGCGCTCTGAGGCCTCAACGTTGATGAGACGACTCCTCAGCCGGTTGCCGTCAAGACTAAGGTCGTAGCCTTGGTCTGCCTCGAACTCCGCGTCTTCCTCGTCTTCTCCCATGAAAAAATCATCGCGTTGGCGTCTAGACATGAAAGGGGGGTCAGGCAACAACCAACTGCAGACTTCTTCAAATCGCTTACCTGGACGCGTTGAACGGGAACGCAGTTCAGGCTGGGTTCAGGGGCATTGGGGAGAGTGGAAGTGACGAAGTTAGCGCAAAAGTCTTGGCATCAGGTCTAGACTCCGCCTGTAACACGTGTCGTCTGGTCTGGACCCGGAATCTGATCCGGGTGGTCGTCACAAGGCATGTCAACAACACTTGACTGTGCGCCTTTCGTGCGCCTCCTCCAACCCCAATTCCAACCTTCACTGCTAGCGGCAGCATCTTACCTTGGCATTTGAGTATTCCAAGTGGGCGAGCTATGACGCCTTTCCATCCTATCTGTGTGCTAACGCCACCTGCTGACGCCGCCAAGACCAAGTACTTCTTGGACCTGTGGTGATCTCCCATCCCTGGCGAACAACAACCATCAAGATCCGAGTGGTATGATACTTTGATCATGACTTTTGCGAGCCGGTGACGAATACCGATTGACTAACTACAGGCTCGTTACAGTACTGGGCTCAGTCGACGCTCCAAATTCGGCGCGCATTACCTTTAACGTGTTTCAGTGTCCGAGAGCAAAAAAAAAAAATGGCAGCAGTAATGCTCACCAGAATTGATACGACTCTGCATGGAGGCGAGGGCTTCAACCCAGCCCCGCTCCAAGCTCTCCCCATCCCCGTCAGTGATGCTGGTGTGACGACGATCGTTCGACTGGTGCGCAGACGCGTGCCAGTGAGTAATCATATGCCGGAGAATGGGAGCGGGGACAGGGGCTGTGGTGCGGACCTTCCAACGGAGGTATCGGTTTATTTTGAGTGCGGAAAGCCATTGGCAACTGATGTCATAACTCGCAGGCAGGCGCAGAACGTTCGTGGAGACGTCCCTCTCAAACTGCTCACCCAGCTGGATATCGTGATCTGAGAACAAGTAAACCACCCACTAAAATAATGAAAAAAAGAAAAAACAAACCACGCGAGGGAGTGGGAGTTGGAGCAGACATGGTAAGTGTTGTGCGAACGCAACGGACAGCCCCTCGAGGTATTTTATACTGTTTTTTGGCCTGTCACGCACCCTGTCGCTTATACTTATTCCACAGATCCATTTGGACAAAGTTTTTTGCATCATGGCACGACCGGTCTTCTGATTTTCGTCTTGCACCCACCCACTATGTCCTCTGCAAAAAAAGAGAGGTCATCGACCTCTCCCAGGACGCCTCGAGCGACAACGAACCAGCTGCGCCTCCCACGACTCTAGCCTCTGCAAAAAAAGAGGTCATCGACCTCTCCCAGGACGCCTCGAGCGACAACGAACCAGCGGCGCCTCCCACGACTCTAGCCTCTGCAAAAAAAGAGGTCATCGACCTCTCTCACGACACCTCCAGTGACGACTCGGAGGAGGAACCCAGTATTATGCGTTCGTCATCTGCTGTATCTCTCTATCCGCGGCGTCTTAACCGTTTACTAGGGAAAAGGAAAGTCGACGGCAATGAAGACTCGGAGCACTCGCCCCAGGTCAGAGCTCGGCTCATTAGATCCCCGCTCGCGCCGGAAAATCTGGAGCTACCCAGTGAGTCGCCATTTTTCGGGCCTGGCTGTCCGCAGGTGGCAGCATCCTCGGTCGTATCCTGTCCACCATCCCCACGGATCTGACGCGACTTCCCTGCATTATTGATATGCTTCTTCGGGAGCCTTTCAAGTCTGGTTTTGCTCTATACGCCCTCGGCGTATACGATCACGCACGCAGGCCCGCGGCAGAGCTGCACCGAACTCTCGACCCTTGTATGCATTACTCCATCATACTGGTGTCGTCTCACCCGCTCCTAGCTACGGAACTCAGCAAGTACATTCGGTTGGACCTTCCTGCCCGGCCTTGGCGCAAA